CGAAAAGTACCCGGATGACCTACTGCTTCCGGTTGGATTTTGCAGTGTGCATACGATGGACACTTCACTATCCCATGATGCCCCGGGAGAGGAGTTATCCAACGAAGAACACGCTGCTATGAAAACGTATGTCACGTGATGTATCAACATGGCGGATGTAGTACTTCCGAATCTCATTCATACTACCAGGCTTCATACCATACAGTACCTACTGTTTTAACGGTCAGTAAGTAGGTACTTCATCGCTTTCAATACGTACTGTCACAGTATGCGGTTTCGGACGCAGCCCAAGGCTGCCATTTGTGGTGCCATCTTGGATCATCATTTCATGAGTCTACAATGAGCCTGTCCCAGCCATGACCATGACATTTTAGTGCACCCTGGAAACTTTTCTGTTGTGCAGCATTTTTGTATAAGGCTGTGTTTTCTGTATTTGCATTTTGTTTCTGTATAATGTGGTGTTTTATTTGCAGCGTGTTGGTGTATTTAGTTGTGTTCTGTATTTGGAGCTGCATAAAAGCTTATTATATGAATATTAGTTAATGTTTTAATATCCCCTTCAACAGTGTCTCACTTGCAATTAGATTATTTCCTCAGTTTTTACTGGGAGTGAAATAACAAGAATTCTCAAAAATGATTGTAATTAGATCTATTGCAGATCTTCTGTACTGGGTTGATGACTGCTGGTCATAGTTTAAAATTAGACCAATCTAGCATTATGCTAAACCTTCTCAGATGCACATTTTGTATTAGTTGTAATTTATTTATAATTAATAATATTGTAACTCAAAGAAAATGCTTAAATATTACAATATCATGTCTGACATTCTGTTTTATTATATAGCAGCCTGATACGTCTGTACTACCTTATGGTTAGAAGTAGAGAGAGATCATTAAACCCACTACCGCCATCCAAAGCCTAATATGCATTATTACCGACACACTGTTCAGGTTTGTGTGCCAACCATGAGTACACAGTGATGTTTTTCTTGGAGGATAGAAATGAGTTTGGATGGATTTTTCTTTGGTTTGCCTGGATGACTGAGTCTGTGATGTTGTGCTGGAAAACCAAGCTCATTTTGAACAAGCTAACATTACAAAGAGATCCTTCATCCTATTAGCTAATTTGCTATCCTGTTTCATTTGAATAAGTACAGCTATCTAGCATTTGTTAAAGAGACAGCTGTTTCTGGAATAAATCCCCTAATTTCATCATCTTAATTGCAATAGATTTCGTAAACATCAAGATTGAATGCAGCAACATTGTCAGTTAGTACAAGAATGCTTTAAACCTAATCTAATAAATTTGTGTAAGGGAACCTTTGCAAAGCCACTTACCCTATAAAAGGCTTGCATACCCATTAAGCAGAAATTCTCTTAGACAGGAATAGATAGCAATTGATTGGGACTTCCTTGAAAATATGTGATCACTCCGTAATTTGTGATTTGGTGAAGTCATTGGGTGGTCTCTAAATGCTATTTTGTCACTGGTCTCACTTGTCATTTGATCCTGGATTAGGCGGCCACTTTTTCTTCTGGATCCTAATAAGCCTCATCAAGAAGTCAATAATGTGGTCACTGTAGCCAAGAAAAGCCTTGTCCATGTAATGACCCTGAAGAATGCAGCCCTCATTTTGTTTCACTATCTGCATTTCATGTATTTATTCAGTGTTTTCAGGTTTGAAATAATCTCATTTTTTTATTGAAGTGTATGTCCCAAAGTTCAATATGTTGTTTTAATAACATTTCCATATAATCAAATTTTGCACTCAGTCTCTTAATGTATTTATTTTCGAAAGAAAAAACACTCTAGAAAGTTGTCAGTGATGAAATGGCAGAATCATAATGATGCTTTTTTTTTAAATGTAGCTTTAACATGTCTGAAGTGAACAATCAGCTGCCTGCAGACCCCATCTCTGCAGTTGGAGTGATCACTTCACTAAGCAACGCTCCTGATGGCTATTATGTATTGAGTAATCATTTACATTAACTCTAGGGAACTTAATGTTTTAAACATATTGATTGGTTTAATAGCTTTGGGTTAAGCTTTTACCTCATTTAAAAGCCAAAAGAGCAAATAGCGCAATAAGAAAGATAATTTATGTGCTTTTGTGAGATCAGATTTTAAAAATGACCAATGTGTCAAGGAGTTAGAGTTTGATTCTTTTAGTTTGGTATGATTTTGTCTTTGTCAGTTTTTTGATGACTTGTTTATAAAAGTTATTGTGATGATAAGGACAGATTCTGACAGTGGCCCTCATTCACAAACCATTTGCAAATTTGCTGGTGCAGTTTTTATGATGATTCTAGTATTCACCAATGTTTTTTTTTTTCATCTGGGATTTGTTCTTGGGTAAGAACCGAATCTATGCACAACACACACACACACACACACACACACACACACACACACACACACACACACAGTGCTGACATGTTGGTTGTACTTTTCACTCATCTTCCTGGTCAGTGTCTCTCCTCTGTGTTTTTTTTGTGCCTCTGATTTGAGACCAAATAATCTTTTTACTTCATTAGTTGTGCGCCTTTCTCCTTAAGTTTTATTTTATATCCACTACTGACGCTGCTACAGTAAATATGACAGCTCGTTTGCTATTCTCCACATCATAAACAGTTTCTTCTGTTTGAAATCCAGTGCACCACCATCTTTAGCTTCCTGGGTGCACTGGGCCCTGCAGTCTCATTCCCATTTATCTGTGCTAAATACAAACACAGTGGGGTTCATCATTGTTAAAACATTGATGTGAACAATTCTGTGGTTTAGGAATATGTTCATGAATCAGACATGGACTTTTCTGTTAAGAAAAATGTAAGAACAGATTTAAGAAAATACTTAGGAAGATATCAGTGAATGAGGCCTATTGTTATTAGTTGCAATTGGTTTTACAGAGATACCAGACTCAAAGCTTTAATGATGTTTGGCTGATTCCCACAAGAGTCATTTAGGTTTACCACCCATTTCTCTTTAAATACCCCAACTAAACCGTTTATAGGAATATTTCAGGATGTAAATCAAAGCAGTTGCTTAATGTGAACTTTTCTTATTTGTGAAAGTGTTGGAGAGGGTAAAAAAGAGGGGAGTTTGTAAGTTTAACAAAGCACAGAACAAGGACAGATATTTCTTCCTCTCCCTCTATTCTTCCTCCCTCCCTCTCTATTCAGATTTCATCCTGGTTTCACTCTACACCCAAACCCCCCCCTCTTCCCCAGGTCCTTATATCTTCTTGCTCCACCCTACACATCCAGCTTGTTCTAATCTGGCAAATGATGGTGGGTTGGCATTACAACGGAGCCACTGGCAGGGAAGCTGTGTACACACCGCATGGTATAGCTTAGTGACAGACAGAAAGAAACCCCATCAGACTTCCTCCTCTGTTGCTCCAGTGTGCAAGTACATTTCAGCTGATGTGCAAATGCTCTGCATATTCAGAGGCACTAAAAGTGAGTCACCAAATGGAAATGGAAATGGTTTTTACCTTATTAAAGCTCCTCAGTAAATTGTAATTGTTTTGTTAACCACATGGGCTTAGTCCTTAATTTAGAAAAAGTAAGGGCAGCGTAACTGTATTAACAAATGGGTAACTTTTTCTGCAATAATCATATCATGACTTATTTATGTTTTTGCATCATGATTTGGATTATGAATTCATATTGCCACTAACATAGTGTAAACAAGTGTGGTTAGACCTGCTCCCATGCTACTGTGGGCACAGTAGGTAAACTGCTAAAATGGTTGCACATGGGATTATTGTAGCAATTTTTTTTATTTGTTTTTATTTTATCTATTTAATTTTTGCCAAGCTAACAGGGTGGCTCAAGGGATGTCAGTGTCAGCTAGTAAACATGTTGCTGTACCACTTTGATCCAGACTAAAATGTGGTTATTGCAACAGCTTTATGTTAAATGAAATATTAGTGGCATACCTTTAAAAAAAAAAAAAAGTCAAGTACAAGTGAGCTTCAGACTCTGAAGCACTTTTTGAACATCACTATATGGTCTTTCATTTGTAGATTTGAAACACAAACAAAAGAATCAACCCTTGGTGTCGGCGGTCTAATGCAGTACTGAGAAGGGGAAGTCTCAAAATATTACACTGTATTGATTTTTTCCCTTTCATACGAGACCTTTCTTCAAATTCCTTCTTAACTGCTTACCATATGTTACTTACCAAACCTTTTATACAGCAGATCAAAGAACTGATTAACTCTTTTGCTCTCTGGTAAGGTACTCTCACATCTCTGAACTTGAGCAGGTTGTTCCAACACAAGAGAGTGCAGGCCCAGATCAAACACTGTTCCACTGGGATCAGGAGTTTTGCTGAAGCACTAGCAGCCACCCAACATCAAACGCCATGAGCAGACCCATGCATTCACACTCTGTGCGTGGGCTGCAAAGGGAATATGTGTCTGTTTCAGATTCACCTGAGCATTTGACGAGCTACCCTTATAAACTCATTACTAAAATGTACGTTATTTGTCGAAGCCAGTGTTTAACATTATCATAAGCATATTCACTTTCTGGCCAAGAGTTAGAAGAATGATAGATACCACTCTTGTGTGTCTGTAGCCAGAAGAAGTTTGCCATGAAGAGTGGACCAGGGGAAAACGGCTAAGCTAGGGTTTTCTGAAACTCGAAAATACACCTACGAGCATCTTTAACACGCTGTAAATATTTTGTGCTGTTTATTTGTAAATAAACAAATGTAAAAATGATAGTTTGTCATCATCACCCTGAGGTCGCCAGTCAGAAGAGATGCCGTAGAGATGTGCTGCACAGCCAGACAAAAGGTTTTTCAAACAAATAGCAAATATACCACAGAAGTTGTGTGTAAAAAAGAACCTGCTGTTTTTACATTTTTGCTTTTGTAGGAATTAAATCAACAAGCTAGTTTTAGAGTGTCTGATGGCATATTTTTGTTACTTATTTCTATGCCATATAACATAACCGAGAGAGCCAAGCTAGCTGGTCTTTGCTGCTTTGTCTTTGGTAAGCTAAGCTAATTGCCCCTGTGGCTTTAGTGTTAGCATCATATTTAATTCACAGACTTGAGAATTATATCAACCATCTCATCTCCTTCTCAGGAAGTAAGGCACATTTGCCAAAGTGTCAAAATATTACTGACAGTAAAAGAACTTTTCAAAGCAACTGCACCTGTAGTTTTTCTTTTAATACATAGTCAGTAGTCCAAAATATTTTTCTCATTTCAGTTTTTTTTTTTTTTGAACATTTAAACCTCAAGTTTTCTACATCTGGTTTAACTCTCTGGAGATTCTTCATCGTATGCCTTTATGCAGTATCTTTGTATGCACAGCTGTGCCTCTCAGTGCTTCATAGTGTCTTGCTGGTGATGTCTGTCTCCGGAGATGCTTCATAGGAATATTCAGCACGCCCTAAAGACTTGTTTTATAGGTGGACTTTTAGATCACTGTGAGATTTTAGGAAGTGGCAGGTGAATCTGTCACTGCATTTTAAATCAAAAGATACAGCCATATTTCAGTATCATAACCATGATGTCTCTTATTAGACATAAAGTATTACAGAAGAGCCACCATAGCTTTACACATGCCTTTTCTGCTGTGCCTCAGCAGTTGGCGTTTCACATTCAAGCAACGTCGCATCCTTGCTGCCGGCGGCTGTGGCAGGATGATGCCTGAGTTGCCTCCTCGGAGGACTGTGCCCTCGTTACTCCTCAACTTGACTTTGGGTTTCACAAAGCGAGCCCTTTGTTTACGCTGACAGGATGCGCTGGCTACTGACCTGGAAAAAGTGGCCAAGACGGGTTGTCTTGTAAAGAAGAGGGAGGCTGGTGATGTATAGGCTCCTTCTGGGACCTTTCATGGAACTGCTGTTGGAGACACCCTGCAATCCCTCTCTCTGCTCATCTTCTCTTCGTTCTCTCTCTCTCTCTCTCTCTCTCTCTCTCATCCCACTATCTATCTCTGTTACCCACTCTAGTCTCTGTTCTCATCCCATCTAGTCAGTGGTGGTTTTGCATGAATCTCTCCATGCCATGTTTCCCCCACCCAGTCACTGGGGTCATTCATCATTATTGTCAAGGAGGTAATGTGTGTGGGTGGGTGCAGAGATCTATGACTTCTTCATTTGAATGAACCTCATTAGATTGACTCTTCTTTGTAAAGGATCCCTTTAGAAAATAACCCTGGCAGTTATTTAGGTGATTCTTACATGATGGCCAATGGAACATGACGTTTCAGCCAAGCATATTTGCTGGAACGATGGAAGAGTCTCTGTGATGCAGTCTGCAGGTTATATTTTGCTTTATCATTCTGCCTTGCACACCTACATTTACATAGCAATGTAGTGTAGGACCTTGAGCATTTTTTTTACTGACTATACCGATGGTTTACAAATATGAATGAGCCTATTGTACAAGGACAAGCTGCTCAGGTCTTTCAGGATTTAGACATATTTAGGCATACAAATAAGATTGCTTTATGGCTTCTGTAATTTATTCTTAGAGGACTTCTGTCATTAAGTAATGGGATGAATCCAGGCATGGGGTAAAGTAGTAAACTATTTGGTAGATTTACAGTTTTCTTGGCTTACCTGTATCATACTCAAGGGATACTACTGTAGCTTTTAAAAAAGATACATTTCACATATACCCCAAATATAATTCCTTCTTTCCCACAGATGCACACTGAAGTTTGGTTTCCTTATTAGAGCAAATCCTTGTCAGGGCATCTTTAATCAGCCCTGGTCTCGAGGGATGATATTTTTAGCCACCTTTTTTGGAGGCTAAGACTCCTTTACCCACGCAGAGCACTAATGAGATGGAGCGCTAGTGTAGGCAAGCATTAATTAAGGCTAGTATGCAAGGGAAGAAGCAAAAGCAACACGCTCATGGCATACATACATTAACTTTATCCCACCTCTTGCATTTTTTTTTCTCTCCTTGTTTTTTTTTTTCCACTTAGGTTGCACAAACAACAGATGGCTCTGACGCCGACCTGTGGAAGGACGGTTTATTCAAATCCAAGGTCACTCGCTACCTCTGTTTCACCAGAAAAACTGTAAGTGTAAATGTAAACTTCTCCCTTCTCCCTTTCCCTTTTTGTTCTGGACCCATACCTCATTGGAAACACCTTTTCCTGTTTGCCAGCAGTCATTAGCGCAGTGTTCTGCGGCTAGAATATCTTTATGCACTTTGCACTTTGATCAGTCAAAGTTCCATTTAAAAAGGCCTGCGCTGACAGAGCAGTTCTGAACTTTTACTATAATGGATTTGCATGCATATTCCAGATGAATAATACCTCAGTGAAATATTTTTCATCTTGTAGGCCCTCCTGAGTATATTATTTATGTTTATTCATGAAATAACAATGAGCTGTATTTTAACAATTTCAATTTATTCAATCAACAGCGTCCCTCTGGAGAGCATGGTTACCAACCAGAGGTTCTTGAAAGCTGATGCAAATAAGAATACTTTTTAAGTAAGAAATTTCTCCATCAAAAGCATTTTCAGTGTGGTTGTGGTATATGCAGAGTTCTCAGGTTGAACAGCTGTGACTCCTCTGTGGCTGAAATGATCTTTGAATGATTCTCATAATGCTGTTGGGTCACTTTGGACTCTCTTGCCTGCAGCCTGCAGCTGGTGTGTTGTTGCCTGGCTGTCAGATGCTCTGCGGCCATAAATACACCTGCTTACATCTCCAGGATTATCAACGTGTCTAACCTCAGTTTATACAGTACTGCTTACTCTTACTCTGTTAATTTGCTTTTCTGGGTTGCAGGTACAGTTGATAATGCAGACAGTACTGTAAACAAAGCATGCATTTTTATTATTATTTTGCATTAACTCACTTCAATATGACTTAATAAAGTCTTTTTTTCCCCACAGTATGTCCTCTAAAAGCCAGGCAACTTGGCAGTGGCTGCCTCATGCCTGAGCTCAATCTGCTCCCCAGATTAGTATATAGCATACAAATAGCCTTCCCCTAGTTCCTGTATATTATCTTAAAATGTGTGTCCACATTGTTTTAAAGACTTTGACACAAATAAAACATGACAGAGCCATCAACAAAGGCTATTTTGTCTGCCAGTCAATGGAGCTCCCACTGTAATTGTCTATGACAAAAACAGATTCTGTAAAATTAGTCCCTGAATTATGTGAGGGGAAGTAAATAGTTTGTGATTTATCATACTTTAGGTTGGAGGTAGATAGCCCCTTTTGTCAGGCCTTGATGGAAAAAATCTTTCCAGAAAAAGGGGAAACACTAAAAAAGGTTCCATGCATAGTAATAACATTCATCCATATTCCTCCTTAAGTCGGTATAAAAACTATGAATAAAAAATGTCTCTAATGGTAATGACTGTCGGGCAACAGTAGCAGCGGAATTCAGCCTTTTCAGATGCATCAAGTCACGCTTGGTTCGCCCCACCCTCCACTGCCACTGTGTATTATTGCAATTTATTATGGCAAAAAATGAAAATGTAATGAGAGGCAGGGAAGAGTCATGCTTGAAAATGTCAACTACACAGTTCTTGATTGTTTTTAACCAGTCCCATTCTGTTGATCAGGCTTCCTGCTCTGTCTACCATCATCCCACCGCTTCTCGCCAAAAGGTTGAGAATGATTACAAGTTCACAGATGCATTCTCTCATTGCAAAAGGAAAAAAAAAACTATTAGAGAGTAATTACTTCAGCTATTTTGTCAGCCCTTCTCTTTAGAGACTTCCCGAGGTGTTAGTAAATCATTGACTCTATTATCTCTACATTTTCTTTCCTGAGCCCTGCAAAAAATGACTAACCTTTCTCTTTTCCTCGCTCTTTGTCCTTTTAAAAGCTACATTTGCATACATGACTTTAAATTTTCTGCCTGTGCTCTATCTTTCAGGGGCCTGATGTTGTTGTGGACATGAAGCTGACTGACATTAAGGAAACGTTGCCAGAGGGCTTCACACCTGTGCACGAAACAATGGACACAAGTAAGTAAACAGTCAGTGCCGACCACAGGCCCGCTCCTCTCCTCCTCTTGGTTTTATTTATTTATTTATTTTTTTTCCACTCTCCGACCAGCTTATGCGGAGCTCCTCAGGGGCAGCTTTGCTTGAGATAGTGAATGTTTTATGGGTGCAGGTTAGCTTAATTTATGGCAGACTGTGGGAATAAAATAAACATTTTGCCCTGGAGGTAAAAGAGAAGAGAATCATGAGTCATTGTTTATCTCAGCTGGAGCTGTGCTTTTCTTTATGAGGGGCTTATTTATTTATGTATTTATTTGGGGAGAGGACGAGTGGATGGGGGTTATCTAATATTAATGAAATGCATTCCCCAATGCTTTAGTGCTTTTTGAGTGCTATGTATTTCCCCCTCACTATCCATGCCTTGGAAATGTAATAATATTTTGGTGTGGGGAGTGAGGACAGCTTGTTTATTATTTTTATTATCATTGCATTTACACTGCACTTTCTAGTGTTGCTGGGGAAATAAATGAGCGAGGCACAGATGCAATATAGGAAAGCATGGCAATGCTTTTTTCTTTTTTTGTACAGAATGAAGAAAAGATATTATGTTTTGTTTGGCTATGGTGTAATTTAATGTTTTATTACTTTATGTGAACCCATGTTTAATGTATACATGTGACATTATGTATGAGTTTCTATCTAGAGTATCCTGTTTAAATCTCTGTTGTGCACTAAAGCTGATGGAGGATTCACTTGCTTCTGTCATTTTACCTACTAAAATGATAAAAATGATAATAATGCATGTGGATTTTGTGGCTTTCCTTTGTCCAGTCGTTTCCCTTTGAGCACAACAAGTCACCCAGAACCTGATATTAGCTCATCTCTTATTCCGAGACTAGTAATGACTAAATACCAAAGCATAAGTATGATATATGACTATATATTTCCCCTAGAAGTAAAAAATTGCTCTAGATATTTTTTAGGCTCAAACCCAAGACAGAAGACAAAACTGAAGTGAATATGTGGCCACTGATTCCTTTCTGACACCCCCATGTGCACCTGACTCATCAGAGGAAACTGCCATGAGGAAGAGGAGGCTCTGTGTGAAAGTCAGCCCTCGTGCTGCTGCCGAGACGGCTGTATATGACATCCAGATCATTGCGAAGTCCAAGTACCATCTTGTTAACTACACCTGTATAGGGTGAGCTTTTTGACACTGGAAATGAGTGATATCATGATGTTTTGTATTGTCTATCAGTCACAATACTTTTTTTTTTTTCTCACAAGATGACTTTGAGTACTTACACTATCTACCACAATATGAAACATTTGACATTTAAACATAAATGTTTAAAACTGTGTGCATCCGCTTCATCTTTACACAGTGAGATAAACAATATGGGATTATGGTATCGAATGGGAGATCTTCCTCGGCATCAGTCATCCCAGGAAACATGCAGTACAGCTACATGTAACACCAGCACCTCATTCAACACAACAAGGTAACATCATGCCATCAACTTTCCTCATGCTTTCCTTTTACTTTACACTCTGTGTCCTCTACAGCCGTTGTTATGCTTCTGCGCATATGTACAAGAATGAAGACACAAGCTATTGATCACTCCTGGGCAATCTGCTGTAAAGGTTGTGGCTGGACCACGAGGTAGCCAGGGTGAACCGGAGAGGCAGGTTAACTAGACAGGATCCCTTGAACAAGAACATAAGTTCAATGAGGGCTAAACTCCTGCTATTTGTGGTGTGTCCCAGGAGGCGGGCCGCTCCTCTGACTGTGGTGACAGGAGTGTTGTACTGTGCAGACAAAAAGGAGGAGATGTAGCCTGGAGAGGGAACGACAGCTGCAGAGGAAGGGAGGAGAGCTCCAAGATCTCTGCCAAGCTGGAATGTGCGTGTCCTATGTTGATGCTGCTCAGGCTTCCTCCACCTCAGGCCTCAGAGTGAATTGAGCAACCCTTTGTACTGTGTCCAGATTAAACAGCTCAAATATTTATCATGATGAAGAACTTGGGGATTTCCACAGTAAACTGTAAATAAACATTTGAGACTCCTTCAACATGGCAGTGCTGTAGAGAGGGAAGCTTGGCATGTGGCACTGCTGGCTCTGCCAGCTTGACGCGTTATGCTTTGCCATTCTGTGCTGGGCTGAGAAAAAGCCACTTAAAAACCACAACAGGCCAGAGCCACTGATGCCAGCAGGCCTATTCAAAACAGAGCTTCTGTTCTCATGGCCACTCAGTGTGATGAGAACAACAGAATGGACAACGGGGAATTCAAACCCAAGTTCAAACTGTTTGTGATTTGTCCATATTTTGGAAGTCGATGGTCAGTAATCTTTGATGTGCTGAAGTGAGGGTGAGAGCTCAGGCCCATGCTTATGTCTTTGCAACTCTTACCGGTAAGCCTCAGTTCTTTTGAAGCCCACTTTCAAGTTGGTGAAGCTCAGAGGTTGGAATAAATTGCACCTCGAAGCGACTCACACCCCCTCTTGATGCCTGCTGAGATCACAGGCTGCTGTTTTTGTATTAACATTAAAATTCACTCCACAGTTGAGAGAGTCTTCTTTTCAGAGTATTTCCATCCATAATGCACTGACACATAAGGACGGGACTGTGGGCAATTTAGACAGTGGCAGTACTTTGACTACTTATCTTTCATCCTCTCTGTGTAGTTACATGCACTTCAGACAACCATACATACAGCTATAAATATTTCTGCAGTTTCTTTAAAGTCACAGATTAGATGGTTTGACACTATGATTTATAAACAGCCCCTCACGTCTCACTGATTACCTAAGTAAGTACAGTGCTACGGTGTAACTGTCTGTGTAGCATCACCCCACTATACTTTATTCATATTCAGCAATGGAAGATTATCTTCTCCGTGCCTCCTTCGGGCTATCTATAACAACTTTATGGCCTTTGGAGAATAGCACCTCTTAAATTTAAGTACTCTTTACAGTCAGTGGAAAAGATGTTTTAAATACAGTCAATAATGTGTAAATTTTTAATGACCCTTATAATTTTGAAAGCTGCAGTGATCCCTCTCGAATGTTACGTTGCCTCAGGCAACAAGCGCTTGTTAGAGTTGTGTACAAACGTAAACCGCAAATCAGGCTTTTCGGCAGCACAGAGCTACAGTACAGAGTAACTGCAGGGTGTTGCATCATTATGGAATGCACAGTTATTGCATCAAGGCTTAGGTGCTGTGTTTGAATTGTTTTTATACTGTTTTGTCATATAAGTGAAGGGTATCTGCAGGTCTGAAAGTTTTTCCTAGCTTTGAAGAGGTATTAAAAGGGAGAAGGTATTAAAGAAAATTATGAGTTATGGTTGCATCTAATGATTTTTTTTCTTACTGATTAATCTGCCAGTTTTCTCAAATAACTAGTTATTAATTTACAGTATAAAATGCCAAACAGTATTGAAAAGTGACCATAAAAATTCTTCCCAGCTCATGGTGACATCTTCAGTGTTCGATGTCCATCCAGCAGCCCAAAACTAAAAAACGATTTCATTTAATATAATATATGACAAAAAAGTAGCAGATTGTTACATTTGAGAAGCTGAAAACTGCAACAAGAAGTGATTAATCAAATATAAGAATAGTTGATGATGAATTTTCTTTTCTCTGTGCCATTCTGTGCTGGGCTGAGAAAAAGCCACTTAAAAACCACAACAGGCCAGAGCCACTGATGCCAGCAGGCCTATTCAAAACAGAGCTTCTGTTCTCATGGCCACTCAGTGTGATGAGAACAACAGAATGGACAACGGGGAATTCAAACCCAAGTTCAAACTGTTTGTGATTTGTCCATATTTTGGAAGTCGATGGTCAGTAATCTTTGATGTGCTGAAGTGAGGGTGAGAGCTCAGGCCCATGCTTATGTCTTTGCAACTCTTACCGGTAAGCCTCAGTTCTTTTGAAGCCCACTTTCAAGTTGGTGAAGCTCAGAGGTTGGAATAAATTGCACCTCGAAGCGACTCACACCCCCTCTTGATGCCTGCTGAGATCACAGGCTGCTGTTTTTGTATTAACATTAAAATTCACTCCACAGTTGAGAGAGTCTTCTTTTCAGAGTATTTCCATCCATAATGCACTGACACATAAGGACGGGACTGTGGGCAATTTAGACAGTGGCAGTACTTTGACTACTTATCTTTCATCCTCTCTGTGTAGTTACATGCACTTCAGACAACCATACATACAGCTATAAATATTTCTGCAGTTTCTTTAAAGTCACAGATTAGATGGTTTGACACTATGATTTATAAACAGCCCCTCACGTCTCACTGATTACCTAAGTAAGTACAGTGCTACGGTGTAACTGTCTGTGTAGCATCACCCCACTATACTTTATTCATATTCAGCAATGGAAGATTATCTTCTCCGTGCCTCCTTCGGGCTATCTATAACAACTTTATGGCCTTTGGAGAATAGCACCTCTTAAATTTAAGTACTCTTTACAGTCAGTGGAAAAGATGTTTTAAATACAGTCAATAATGTGTAAATTTTTAATGACCCTTATAATTTTGAAAGCTGCAGTGATCCCTCTCGAATGTTACGTTGCCTCAGGCAACAAGCGCTTGTTAGAGTTGTGTACAAACGTAAACCGCAAATCAGGCTTTTCGGCAGCACAGAGCTACAGTACAGAGTAACTGCAGGGTGTTGCATCATTATGGAATGCACAGTTATTGCATCAAGGCTTAGGTGCTGTGTTTGAATTGTTTTTATACTGTTTTGTCATATAAGTGAAGGGTATCTGCAGGTCTGAAAGTTTTTCCTAGCTTTGAAGAGGTATTAAAAGGGAGAAGGTATTAAAGAAAATTATGAGTTATGGTTGCATCTAATGATTTTTTTTTCTTACTGATTAATCTGCCAGTTTTCTCAAATAACTAGTTATTAATTTACAGTATAAAATGCCAAACAGTATTGAAAAGTGACCATAAAAATTCTTCCCAGCTCATGGTGACATCTTCAGTGTTCGATGTCCATCCAGCAGCCCAAAACTAAAAAACGATTTCATTTAATATAATATATGACAAAAAAGTAGCAGATTGTTACATTTGAGAAGCTGAAAACTGCAACAAGAAGTGATTAATCAAATATAAGAATAGTTGATGATGAATTTTCTTTTCTCTGAAAAGAATTAATTATCTTTAATTCATTAAACCCATCCATCCATTTTCTGCTGCTCACTCAGGTTCAGGTCATACTAATAATATTAATTATATCATGAGGGGTTTATTGTCATACTGGTGGAAAGTACTGAAAAATATGGTATAATAATATATTCTAGACAGAAAGCCTGTAAAAACAAATCTTAGGAGTTAGCAAGGTAAAATGGAGGACAAACACTAAACCTAAATAGTTATTTCTTATTGGCCCAGGCTGTTGCACCATATTGAGCCAGTAAAACTGTTAGGGTAGAGGCCTGTTAAGCAGTCTGCCATATATACGCATTTGAATCTTGTGTGTTTAATGTCTCTTTATCAAGTTTGTCTAAAGCATTTCAGCCAGCGACAGTGTTCTGTTTTAATTCATGGCTGCAGCTTGATGTCAACCACTTTGGCTTGTTCTCTGTCAAGACAGACCGTATCAGCTGCTTCTGACTTTATAATGTGAAAAACCTGCACCATCCGGTCAGCCTTTTAATGTGTCCAGTAAAGTATCCCCCGTGTTCCTTCTCCCAGCCAACGCTGCCATTTGTTCTCCTGATAAAGCTGTCATGGCTGAGGGTGATATCTGACCTCTACAGTGACTGCTAGCATAAATTAGCCTTGTCCTAATATTGCAATTTCTTTCACTTCACTCAGAATCAAGGTTTTTGACATTTCTCCTAGGCTATTGTACACACGGACACTTTTTAAATCAAACTGTACGGCGATAAAAATGTCAAGGCCGAGTATCTTTTTTTTTTCCTCTCTCCTTTTCATTGCAAAGCGGACTCTTTCTTTAACATGTGAAACCTAGAGAGTCATCGGTGTCAGAATTGGCATGCATATCAATACGTTTTGGATTGCACTGTCTTCTACCTGTGGCACTCCACACATTGCTGCAGCTCTGCAGGAATATTGTATCAGCTTTCATTGCACGCTGGTTAACCAAGACTTCCCACTGCACACGACTCCTGAGAGAAAGAGACTGTGACTGTCAGTGTGTCGCCTGACAGATCTCCCATCTGAAGTGTTGAAGAACAACCATTCCCAGCTCAATCTTACTCATTGCTTTGTTGTGTTCGGAAAAGTTGCAAAAAGTAGCGGGGATCAAGCAGAGGGATGCAGAGAGGTGCCAGGAATGATCGAATGATCAGCTAAGATCTGATGGGCTCAGACTGTTTGGTGATTTGCCTCCAAATTCAGAGAGATCCTCTGTTCAGCACCTGACACCGAGCTTAAAGGAGGATAATGATGGGTGAGAAAGCAGCTCCCACAAAGCAGCACTGTCGGCACATAGCGGAAGGTGTGGAGATGTTGTCACAGGAAAGGCTGGATGTGTGTCAAAACAAGAGCTTCTAGCTTTCTGTATCGCAGCTCTGGCTCTTCAGTGATATTACTCTCATTCTCATCTTACCTCTCCACTGACTACCGCTTGTCTGTCCCCACTATCTCTCCCACTTTCCCTTCTCCTGTTTTTACGCAGACAACTCTTTTTCATATTCCACATGGAACAACATAAAGAACACCCCCCCCAAAAAAAAGTCTGTTCAACTGTAATTCATGTTGTCAAGTAATGTTTAGTGTCGTGGTTTGCTTTACTGCTCTAATACAATTTTAATTCCAGCAGGTTTCATGGGAACGCAAGACTCCTGATCTGCGTTATAATTGTGTAAATCTTTCAGGCCGTGTTCCCAGTTTTACTATAATTTGATGAGGAACTACACTATAATTGAATATTCAAATTAGGAATATGTGTCACTATGGCTCTCCTTGCCTGAAATGAGGATTAATTGTTGTCAAAACTCCAGTGGCCAACATAATATAAGCCCCAACACTGCTGTTGATTAGCAAATGCTCTTGCCATGTTTTTGTTTTAAGAATTTGTTGTCTAATTGATTTGCCATATGTTACTCTCTCCAATGCGCCTAAAATTGTATTTAGAAATCACCAGTTTGGATTGAGACAGTTTTTTGTTTCAAACAGATGGGAAAAGCAACCCTGGAGGTTGCCTGTAGAAAAGCATTTCATGAGCTCATTTCCCTGGTTTCACATCGAGTCTTTGGGATTTTAAGTGATGCTTTTACGCTTTCAGGTACATAGATGGATAAATAGCGAGAGCTGTTTTTCCTCTGTTCTCTTTGTTACATCTGAGTACAAATTTAACAACACAAACAAAGGCGCCTTAAAACATTTAAATCATTTCCCTTCACTTTATCAGTCCATAGTGTCTGTGCTCTGAGAGATGTGTACCTTTCTTCCTGAGCAGTGAAATCAACCTTTGCAAGGTAAAAGAAGTCTGCGTTGAATATGGCAATCGTTCCTACAAGATTGATGCCAACCTTTTAAAAATTCACCATTGACCTGGATTTTACATGGCCAAATGCTGATGTAAATGAGGAGGAGAAAAGTCGACCCTTTCATTGCAAATAAATCTGAGTTGCAGGCTTCAGCTCATAAATACCACAGTCTGTCAGAAGTCTTGTTTTATTGCCCTTGATGGAAATTATTGCATTTATTTATCTCATCCGCAGAGATGAGGCTTTGAAAGCCACAATTCAGGCGCTGCACCCTCAGAATAAGCAGATCTGCTTTAAAATGTAGGACTTTTGATTTTAGACCACCTGCAAGCAAAGACTGATTGTGCCATTCAACAGACCAAGTGCAGGACACACTTCATTATTTGCAACTTCACACCTGCTCCAACTCAAAATCTGTCTTGTCCTTCAGCACTGTCCTCCTGCTGTGTCTATCCTACTTTTCTAATTTGTTCTTTGTCTTTGACAACAAACTCTTACTGTATGCCTGCGCGTCCTCTGATCAAAGCAAATCCATTGGTTAATAATGATGGCACCAACTGCTTCGCATTATCATTATAAGATCATTTGTTTTATAACGCCATCCTGGAGCTCATTCTACCTTCAGAGCATGTCATGTTATGCAGCTCTCTTGAAGCTGTGAATTTTTTCTTTCTGCTTGCTGTGGATTTATCGATCCGTAGGGGTGAGCTGCGGTGTAATTCATGATAGCTTGATTGATGAGGATTTCAATCTTATATGGTTTGTTAACTTCAACTGCCCACAAACTGCATTCCGTGCTGTTTTCTGTAATACAAGGCCATGAAACGGTAAAAACAGACTTCCCTTGAATAATGGAATCTTTCAGTTCCTTCAGAATTAACAAGATCCTGCTTCAAACCCCTGTTAAAGGTCTCTTTGAGCCCCTGGGCAGCTAAGGCACGGTTTAACTTTTGCCATATTTCTCCTTATATTCGGCCTCTTCTCCTTCTGTTTTGCCTTTAGATGGATCAGAAAGCATGACTTAATGCAAAATAAATTCTCTTGCACTGAACTTAATTGTCTGAGACATATAGGTCTTTTAAAACGAGTTTTCTTGTCAAATACAAAGTTTTCATGCACTGTGGATGTTTTTAAAGTGATCATCAACAGATTTGATCAATTCGCTGAACAATGTTGCTTTCTCCTCTTTCAGCA